TGTGTCCGCCGAGAACTAAAAAATAAATATTAAAAATTTTCTCTCTCTCTCCTCTCTCACTCTCTCTTTAAAAAAAAAAAAAAAAGAACAAGTTTCAAGCTATGTGTGGAGGTGCACAAATGCAATTCCAGGTACTAGGGAAGCTGAGACAGGAGGATCACAATTTTGAGGCCAGTCTCAGCAACTTAGCAAGACCCTGACTCAAAATAAAAAATAAAAAGGGCTGAGGATGTAGCTCAGTGGTAGAGTGTTCTGGGTTCAATCCCTAGTACCCCACCTAGCCCTCAAGTTTCAGATAATAATGCTTTTCATCCTGCCACAAATTATAGTTTACCTGTCAGGCAATTTTAATTGTCTCAATTCAAATTAAAGTAGACAAAGAAATACAGAAGAGGGAAGAAAAAACTTATGAGTAGTACCAAAAGAAACAAAATAAGGGGAAAAAGCATCACACCTTCAGATAGTATTGGATATAGGAAAATCAGCTGAACAAATCCATACTAATATATTCATTTTTTAAATTTGTTTGTTTGTTTTAGTTGTGGATGGACACAATACCATTATTTTATTTATTTATTTTTATGTGGTGCCGAGGATTGAACCCAGTGTCTTGCACATGCAAGGCAGGCGCTCTACCACTGAGCCACAACCCAGCCCTCATTTTTTTAATATTTATTTTTTTAGTTGTAGGTGGACACAATATCTTTATTTCATTTTTATGTGGTGCTGAGGATCAAACCCAGTGCCTCAAGTGTGCTAGGCAAGCACTCTACCACTGAGTCACAACCCCAGCCCAGTATATTCATTTTTCTTTTTTTCTTTCTTTTTTGATGTTCATTTTTAAAGAAATTTCTTTGTAATGCTATAAACTGCCATGCAATCTGAAACTGGGTTAGTGGAGAACAATAATTCAAAATAATGTATATTAACACTGAACCTTTCTAAAAATAGGAAATTAGATGCATGGATTACAATTTAAACAGAACAATTAGCATGCTAAAGTCCACTAACAACATGTTTAATCCTTAGATATGTTCCGTTTTTATTTTTATTTATTTGTTTATTCTTTGGTACTAGGAATTTAATCCAGAGGCACTTTACCATTGAGCTATATCCCCAACCCCCACCTTTCTTTAAATTTTGAGACAGGGTCTCACTAAGTTGCTTAGGGCCTGGCTAAATTGCTGAGGCTAGCCTCAAAGTTGCAATCCCCCTGTCTCAGCCTCCTGAGTCACTGGGATTAAGGCATATGCCACAGTGCCCAGCTTGTTCTACATTTTTAAAACATAGGAGTAGAATAGCACAAATCACAAGAAAATTTTAAAAAACTGAGATGTAAAGTTCTTCACTTAACCATAATGTTCACAGAGCTGGGCGTAGTGGTGCACACCTGTAATCCCAGCACCCTGAGGCTGAGTTGGGAGGATCATGAATTCAAGGTCAGCCTCAGCAATTTAGCAAGGTCCTAAACAACTCAGCAAGACCCTGTCTCTGAATAAAATATAAAAAAGGGCTGGGGACATGGCTCAGTGGTTAAGTGCCCTTGGGTTCAATCTCTGGTATTAAAAAAAAAAAGTTCACAATAGAATCAGGATTTAAATTAATGTTATAACATATTTTTAAATCACTTACTCAGGTTCAGGATTCTTTGGAGAAAGTCCCCATACTTCAGGAGCTCCTAATTCTCCAATCCTCTCTCTCTCACTTAATCTCCTAGAGGATATAAACATTTAAATTATAACTCATGGATGGATTATTTCCTAAATGTACAATCAAATTCAACAAGAGTCCGGTTAAATCCTATTTTCCCAATGTTTTATTATATTATTTTCTTTTTAGAGCCAGGGTCTCCCTATTTTGCTCAGATTAGCCTCAAACTACTAGGCTCAAGTGATCCTTCTACTTCAGCCTCACAGGCTTCTGAGATATAGGAGCCTGCCATCACAACTGACTTTCCTTATGTTTTAAAAGTTAATAAAAACCTGGTTTAAGTGGAAATTAATCACATAGGAGTTGATGTTCTTGTAATCCTATCAAATGGTACAAACTACAGATAGCCTCAGTGCCTGGATAAGAAACAATAGCTTGGGAGACTGTCCAGGGCATCCCTATGCCAAGTGCATGGCACAGCTTCTAACTGATCACTTCATTGTAATATGTGACAGAATGTTTTACATTTTGAAATAACTTTGTTCATGCATGATTAAAAAAGAAGTCTCTTTTGATTTAGTCAAACCTTCAGTTTTCAGGAAGCTAAGAATTAATAAAGAAAATAAAAATGAAGAATTAGAAATAGGAAATAAAGGGAGTTCTGAAAATAAAAGAAAAAAATTATTTGACAAATATTATACTCAATGAGATGTCAGATTTGTTCCCTCAGTTTTCCCTTTAGCTCCTTTTTGGAAAAGGAGTACATTCTCTGTTCTTTGGAGGACACTAAAATTGTTTAATTATTTTGTTTTATGATGTTTGTGATTTATTCTGTTTTAATTTTTGCTATTTTTCATAAACTGAAAAATAAAACCCTAAGGCTCAGTTCCTCAAAGTTTAGCTGTTTTAGATTCCATTTGTTTTTAATAATCCTTCAAAATAAACATAATTGGTTTGGATTTTTTACTTCTTTATTCAGGGGAAAAGATATAGCTATACAGAGTCAGTCTCAAAGGGTTTGCCACTTTGAAGAAACAGTCCAAAAGGGGCCATACTTGTAATTGTATTTAGAATATACAAATATAGGGGAAAGAATGCTGCCAGACTCTGAAGAACATAAAGTCCTGTTCTTATACCTGTTGCCATCTGGCTTCATCTGCACTGTTAAGACAAATTACTTATCTTCTAAATGTACAAATGCAAATTTCACTTAAGCATGGGGCTGGGGTTGTACCTTGGTGGTACAGCGCTTGCCTAGCACATGTGAGGCACTGGGTTTGATCCTCAGCACCACACAAAAATAAATAAATAAATAGATGTATTGTGCTCATCTATAACTAAAATTTTTTTAAAAATCACTTAAGCAGTTCTGACATTTTTTGGTGAGGATTCACCAGCAAGAAGCCATTTGCTTTTTGAGTGATATATTCTATGGATACTTTTCTGAACAATTTAACTTGGGTAGGTCTTTTAACCTAATTCAGGACTGTTTTTATTTTCTGCTTCCATGCATGAGGCACTAATAGCTAACAGTTATGGAATATTTATTATGTTCCAGGCACTAAATTATTACAACCTTAAAAGACATGGTACTAATTTTATCCACCCCCATACCCTCACCCTGCTTTTTTTTTTTAACAATGCTCAGGATGGAACCCAGGGCCTCAAGTATGTTCAGTGAACACTCTACCATTGAGCTATATCCCAGCCTCAGCATCTTTTTAATGGTGAAGAAATGAAGTTCACAGAGGTTAAATTAACTTTCACAAGGCTGCACTGCTATTAGGTGGATAACAAAGGTTTCAAGCAGTCTGATTCTGGAGCCTGTCTTTCTCATCACTATACTTTATTAGTTCCCACTGCTGGAAGAAAAAGAATCATGAAGCCATCTCCCAACTGTTGGAACTTTAACTTGCCCCTCAATGCCTGTAATACTTTCGGACTTCTCGTTTCTTAAACACATAGTGCATGGCTTAGTACAATGCCCAACACATAATGTTTAATAAATATTAGATATTGTGAGTCACACAGCAATTATTCTAAGCCTCTTCCTTAAACCAGGCACTTTCCCACTCCAATATTCATTCTTATTAGAGGAGACCCAATCTCACCCTGACATCATTTTTCACCAACAAGATTGAGACCACTTACCCAGATCTTTCTTAAGGTAACTACATCTACAGCTAAGCAGATCACTTCCCCCACATTCATGTAATTATCTTGTGCAATATAAATCCTTAATTTCAACTCTTTCCAATTCCGTACAAAACATTTCCATTGATATATTCCGTTATCTCAAACTTGTCTGTTTCTCCACTCAAGCAATGATTGATTGCATGTCGAATTCTGGAACCAACAGAATAGTGATCCTTCTTTCCATGAATTCAGTTTGTGAGCAATAAAATCATGCTCACGACTGATAACGACACAGCCAAGTAAATGCTATAATTCCGGTAGATCTGAGGCTCTTGGAGACGTCTGCTAACAAGCCAGGAGCGGGTAAGGGGACAGCGATAAAATAGGGCGCTGTATAAAGGGACCCGCCGACAAGTGAAAATATATGGGAAATAAAGGCAGAATACAAGGTTGCTGTGAGTGGAATGAAGAAAGGGACGAAAATGGGTGCAAGACAGGCAGAACGAAATGCGAATAGTCAGAAACACAATGAACGATAAATCGGACTCGAAAGGCGGGGGGGCTCATACAAGAAAAGATGCGGCGAGCTCACTCACTTCTGCCGCAGGCTCTCTTCCCTCTCCTTGTCCAGAAGGCTAGGCCACGGCTTGTCGCTCCCGTAGGGGCGTGAGTAGCTTCCATAATACGTGGAAGAGGAGGCAGAAGCAAAAGGGGTGTTCCGTGGCGCAGAGGGCCGCTCTCGAGAGCGCGAACGCGAGCGCGAGCGGTATGACTGGTTTCGGGAACCTTGGCTGAGACCACCCAGCTGATGACATAGGCCATTCTTGTCAACAGTCCGAGAACAAGAACGCGAGCGCGACCGGCGACACCGCGGGGAGCGGGAAGATTTGCTGGGTTTGGGGCTCTTCGACGAACTGCGGCGTCTTCCTCCGGAGCCAGAGGCCTCCCGCTCAGGGCTGCGGGAACTGGACACTGGAGCCATTACCGCAGCTGTGCCCCCGAAGCTGGGGGCCAAGGGGGCGCTCTTGTGACCCCGGGAAGATTCCCGGTTGCCTTGGCTCCCACAACTCGCCGCCGAGCAACCTCCCAAACCTGAAGAAACCTTGGAAACAGTTCCGGGTACGTCAGCAAATACCTTCCCCAGACCTAAGGGCTCCTCCCAACCGGAAGGGGCAGGTACCAGTATAAATAAGCCGGTCTGGAAACTGGGTCCGCGCATGTGTTCAGTTCCGACAGAGGTTCATCAAATCTAAGGTGTGTAGGAGATCAAGTCCTTTCTCAGATTCGAACTTGAAATACCTGAAGAGAAAGTCCACGGAACACAGGATATGTTTCACTGAGTAACCATGTGAACAACACACAATTCTGCATGTGTTTCGTGTGCTGTCTCTGTATAATTATATAGGCATGTGTATGTATATGAATATATGTACTTTATGCATATAAACATATATATACACACATCAAAAAATATGATTTCTTTTCTTTTTTGAAATCCCAAGCAAAATAAGAAGGGTTTATTGCAATTAGGAGTGAGCTATGATATTGATGCCCATATTTTCTAGTTAACTTAGAAAGCACAAATTCTATGTTAATGACTTGAGCCTGATGCTCTCCAATCAAATTAGCAGCCCATAGAAAAACTGCATATTTAATTCCCCAGTCACACATGTCCACCAATGTGCTCCAACTAAAGGAAACTGGAACCCACTAGTTATCCAGCCCATTGAACCAGTCTTTCATTTACTAGCGAAGCAATAGGGTTAATGATCAGTATTTATATTCATGTTATAATTTTTTGCATGCTACTGGGGATGGAATCTATGGGTGTTCTACCACTGATATTTATTTATTTTTAATTTTGAGACAGAGTCTCACTAAATTTCCCAGGCTGACCTCAGACTGCAAGCCTCCTGCCTCAGCCTCCCAAATAGTTGGTCTCTTTTTGCTTATCAAGCCCCTAACTTTTGTGATACCAGTCTGTACACTTTTGTAGCACTATTTTTTAAACTTCATTTCAATCCAAATTCCCCCCACTTTCCCTCCCCTTCTCTCTCCTCCTATTCTCCCTCCTCTACTCTGATAATCTTTCTTTCACTCCTTTATTTATTTATGTGTGATTGGTACTTCTTTTCTCCTACAAATTTATAATTGCATACCAGAAGGCAAAGAATAAGATAAACGCTTTTTGTTTGTTTTTCACTTTCACAAAAACTCCATTCTTTTCTTTATTTTTTAAATATAGTTGTAGATGGACAGCAAGTCTTTATTTAATTAATTAATTTATTTATTTATGTGGTGCTGAGGATCGAACCCAGTGCCTCACACATGCTAGGCAAGTACCTCACACATGCTGCCACTGAGCTACAGCCCCAGCCCCTTATATGCTTTTTCTATGTATATATAAAGATGAAATTACCTTTGGTATATTTACAAATGTATATCTCATGATTTCGTTGAATTCATTCCATATTTCTTCCCCTTTCCCTTCCTCCCTCCCTCTCCTTCTCCTCCTACTCCACTGATCTTCCTTATGTCTTATGATATCTGATCCCCTCCCCAACTACCTTCTTTCTCTTATTTTGCTCTTACTTCCACTTATGAGAGAAAACATTTGGCCCTTGATTTTCTGAGTCTGGCTTATTTCACTCAGTATGATGTTCTCCGGTTCCATCCATTTCTCAGAAGATGACATTATTTCATTCTTCTTTATGGCCGAGTAAAACTCCAGTTTGTAAATATACCACATTTTCTTATCTATTCATCTGTTGACAGCCATCTGGGTTGATTCCATAATCTGGCTATCGTGAATTTGTGTTGCAGTACCATTTTATACTGTTTTTAAATGACTTGGATTTTTGTTGTTGTTGTTGTTGTTGCAGTGCTAGCAATCAAATCCAAGCCTCACACATGCAAGTGGTAGACCACTGAGCCACATCCCCAGGCTATCTGATTTGGATTTTTGAAGACACATAGATTTCCTGTAAAAATTCCAAATCAAGTCTATTAGTAGCTTAATGGCCTCAGGGATTTTCCTAAGAAGTAACTCATCAAACTGAAAACTAATGTGAATTGATTATGGGAAATCTTTTCTTTTTGAAATTGAAAGGACAGTTTTATGAAATAATGTTAAACAGAAAAATGGACCACAATATTGGATATCGATATCTTCTATGTAAAAACCAATTGGTCATGGGGCAAGATCCAAAATCTGAATTGAAACCAGAGGTAACTCATGCCTGTAATCCCAGTTATTCAGGAGGCTGAGACAAGAAGATCCAAGATGGAGGCAAGCACAACTTAGCTAGACCCTGTCTCAAAACAAACATTTTTAAAAATGGTTGGTGATAGGTTGGGGTTGTGGCTCAGTGGTAGAGTGTTTGCCTAGCATGTGTAAGGCACAGAGTTCGATTCTCAGCACCACATTAAAAAATAAAGATTTTTTTTCATCTACAGCTAAAATTATTTTAAAAAATAAAAAAAATGTTTAGGGATGTAGCTTATTAGCAGAGTGCTTGCTTGGCATGAGTACAGGCCCTGGATTCAATCCCCCATACTGCAAATAAAAAAAAATTGAACTAAATTGAGTCAGAGAAATTATGTGATTTGGAATAGAAATTTTCTAATAAGAAAGCTTTCAATGTAAAAACTACTGTCTAGCTGGGCACTGTGGGGTGTGTCTATAATCCCAGCTAGCCAGAAGGCTGAGAAAAGGAGGAATTCCAAGAGTCCAGGAGTTCAAGGTTAGCTTTGGCAACATATAGAGACCCCTTAAGAAGGAAGAAAGTCTACAGCCTAACTTCTGTGATACCAAGCTGTGCACTTTTGTATCAGTTAAGCATAAAAGTTTTGCAACAGTGGTCTATCTGTCCCATGGCACATGCTTCCTTCCTTTTTTTTTTTTTTTTTGTACTAGAGATTGAACCCAGGGACACTTAACCACTGAGCCACATCCCCGGCCTTTTTTCTATTTTACTTAGAGACAGGGTCTCACCAAATTGCTTAGGGCCTCACTACGTTGCTGAGTCTGGCTTTGAACTCATGATCCTCCTGCCTCAGCCTCCTCAGCCACTGGGATTACAGGTAAACCACCATGCCCAGTGCTTCCAGGCTTGCAGAGGGTGGGTCCTATCGAATACCAGCACAGCCCAGACAAAGAATCATTTACACTAAACACAGACCTGACATTCTTTTCAGGAATCAAATCATTGTATCTTATGGGGCATGGGAGCCTTCAGTTTCAATACACTATTCCTCTTTGTAATATGAGACCCTGCAGGTACATGATTGATACCCACAAGAATTGAGACAGGTTTTGGGGTTGTGAAAATGGGGGTTGAAGAAGTGATTAGGGAAACTTTTCTGATCAGTATCCATTTGAATTAGTAGATACTTTATGATTATAACAATAATTGTTTAAGAGCTTCCAAGACTAAAATTTATTGATCATATTTTTTTTTGTACTAGGGATTGAACCCAGGGGTGCTTTACCACTGAGCTACATCCCCAGTCATTTTTATTTTATATTTTGAGACAGGGTCTTGATAATGTGTTTAGGGCCTTGCTAAATTGCTGAAGCTGGCTTCAAACTGGCAATCCACCTGTTTTGGACTCCTGAGTTGCTAGGATTACAGGCATGCATCACCATGAATTATCATGCTCAAAACCTGAATCACTTACTTCTTTAAAAAGTGCATTATAGTTATACATAATAGTAAGGTTCATTTTGACAGAATCATACATGCATGAAATGTAATTTGCTCCATTTCAATCTGTACTGCTTCTTTCCCCCCTTCCTCTCCCTATTCCCCTTCATTTATTCTACGGGTCTTCCTTCTTTTTTTTTTTTTTTTCCAAATTGGTGCTTTATAGATATACATCAAGGTGGAATTCATTGAGATATGTGTGTATGTGTGTAGCATACATAATTTTGTCCATTTTATTCCTCATTTCCTCCCTTTTCCTGTCCCTCAGTCCCTTTCCTCTATTTCACTGATCTCCCCTCTATTTTCATGAAATCTGCCTCCCTCTCTTTTGTCCTTTATGTTGTTCTAGCTTTTGCATATGAGAGAAAACATTTCACCCTTGACTTTCTGAATCTGGTTTATTTCACTTAGCATGATGTTCTCCAGTTCCGTCCTTTTACCAGTAAGTGCCATATATTCATTCTTCTTCTTTTTTTTTTTTTTAAAGAGAGAGTGAGAGAGGAGAGACAGAGAGAGAGAGAGAGAATTTTATTTATTTTTTAGTTCTTGGCGGACACAACATCTTTGTTTGTATGTGGTGCTGAGGATCGAACCCCGGTCGCACGCATGCCAGG